CATTGTGCTTGCTTCAAACCATATAGAGACTTTTATAGTTTGCATACATGAGTAGGAAAATTATGTCAATATACCCTGGTGGTTGCTTCATGTAAACATTCTCACTTAGATAACCATTGAAGAAGACATTGTGAACATCAAGTTATCTAATAGACCAAACACTGAACACCTCGAAAATGAGTTCTGGAATCAATTTTTGAATTTCCAAACACACTTTTAGTATAATTGACTAATAATTATTATGATAACTAAGCTAATAATCTATCTATATTTATATTATTAAAAACAAATTCTTTCTTTCATTCTTGCCCAAACACTTCTTCCCAAACAATAAAAAAAGAAAAATGAAAAAGGAAATGAAATTAACTTATAATAAAATAATAATAATAATAATAATAATAAATAAATAATCTATATCTATATCTATACTATAATTAAAAACAAAATCCTATTTACTTGATTTCCCGCCCAAACAATAGTAAAAGTAAATTAAAAAAGGAACGTAAACTAAAAAAAGAATAGAAATATGTCACAGTAATATTCTACATCATCAATTAAAAATGGAACAAGAATTATGTAAATTGGAAAATGAAATGAATATTAATAATTGACTGAGAATTAAAAATGAAAAAATGAATGGAAATTATGTTAATTAGAAAAGGAAATGAATGTTAAACAATAGTAAAGGTAAATTAAAAATGAAACGGAAATATTTCAATAATAATATCTACAACATTAATTAAAAATGGAACAAAAATTAGGTAAAAATATCATTGTATTTGATATTCTAATTGACTGAAAATAAAAAAATATAATTGGCTGAAAATGAATCTGATATTACTAATTGACTGAAAATATAAAAGGATCACTAATTGAGTGATATTCTACCATTATATATTTTTACCCGAGTAACCCGTCCTGATGGACTGGAGGTGTTAGCTCTAGACGAGGATGGACAAGATTGTGTTGTCACTACCAATGTCGTCTACAAAGAAGTTTCAATAATGTGTAAATATAATCATTGATATATTTTTTTTTAATGAAAAAATTGCTATATGTCTAGACAAAAAATATATCTTTTATACAAATGAATTAGGATAGCAATTCATTCCTATAACTGGGTTATTAGAGAACGAGCACATTTACCTAATTAGGATGGAAAGGAATTATAATTCGAAGGAAAAAGAATAAGGTAGGAATAAAGTAGGAATTCAAATTACAGTGTTTGGTATGCAAAATAAGATTACAGGGAATTGAAAGGGAATACGTGACATAATGACTGAAATGCCCTCATGTACTAATAATAATAATAGATGTCAGGGACAAAAATGTCTTCCCAATCTCCAATTCAACACTGAATTAGAATTCATAGGGGGGAGTCCGGAATTGTAATTCAGTATTTGGAGGGAATTACAATTCAATGGAATTGCAATTCCCTCCAACCAAACGGCGTAATTGTAGTCTCCACGGAATTGCAATTCAACTACACTTAAACTACCTCCAACCAAACAGCCCGTAAACAATGATAAATAAAATCTTCAAAGTTATAGCACCGCATGCGTACATCGAGACATTAGCTATTAATTTGAGCAATTATTTGCACAAATTCAAGCAATGATAACATCAAAATACATAAACGATCCGAACTATATCTTTAATTGTACTACATAATATTTGATGTTCTAATTTAAATAATTATATATCGAATACATAAACGATCCGAATGAGAATCGCGGCCCCGCCCATTCTGAAGTGGCAGTTAGGGAGGAGCATAGCTCTCTCCGATCCTTTGTAATAGTTGGGCGTAATAATCTTCGTGCTAACCACCAGGGCGTTAGAGTTGGGGTGCACGTACAGGAGGTCACGTGCGAGATCGATCGAGATCATGCCAGCGCTACACCCCATGTCGAAGAGATTATAGCTTTTGATAGATAGATCGGCGAAGTCCCTAGAGCAGCTCTTTGAGAAAGTCGTGACTCCAAGCGACATAGGCAAGCTGAACCGGCTCGTGATCCCCAAGCAGCAAGTGGAGAAGCACTTCCCCCTTCGAAACGGCGTTGTCACCTCCAAGAGCGTTCTTTAAGCTGAACCGACTCGTGATCTCCAAGCAGCAAGCGAAGAAGCACTTCCCCCTCCGAAAGAGTGCTGTCACCTCCAAGAGCATTCTCTTGAGCTTTGCATGTGAAATTACATATATATCTTCAAAGATCACGGTCAACAAGCGGTCAAATAGACGGAGAACCAAATCGTGTTAAAATTGTAAAGTTAAGGACTTAATTGATTGAAATTGAAAGTCGAGGATCAATTTGTGAATTTAGCTATAATTGGGGGACCATTTTGGGTATTTACTCTATTCTTAATATATTACAACAGATTCATGTTGAAAAATACTAGTTTTATTAAATAAGAAATAGCTGACAATCAATGAAAAATCATAAAGGCCTGTTTGATAAATAGTTGTTAACTGATTGAGTTTGAATGTATAATTAGTTGATAACATTGGTGGATTATTGTAAAAAGGTGTTTCATAAATTAACTGTTAATTAATAGTTGTTTGGTATATTTCGTTTCTACAAAAGTTCATTAAAAAGGTTACTTTAAATAACTTTTTAAATTTTAACACTAGCTATGAAGTTATAAAAAAACTAATTAATCAAACACTATGTTTAACCTCACTTTACTCTATAATGTGACAAACAAAGATTTAATATTTTCATTATGTGGATCTGAAAAAAAATATTTATATATAAAAAATCTGTGAGAAAAAGTAAAAATTTAAAATAAATAAGAGTACATGTAGTATTTTCCTTTCATAAATTACCGGTCAATATATGAACTATGAAACATCCAAATACCAAATGCATCAAAATCAAAGCATTCTGAATGACTTGATCAATTGATTCAATTCACGCACTCATGCAAGCATATCATATAAATATTTATGAACTTGGTTGTTCATTACAAAACAACTTAGCAGCGCAGCTCACTATAAACAAACATCACATCACATGCATGACTAACCAAGCTAAACTAATAAACCTCCATCCCCATCTATCTCCCATACTAGTTCGATCACTTGGTGCCTCTGGCTACTGCATGCATTCAAATCGTACTTGTGTTGTGCTTTATCAAAGCTACCCTCACAGCTTTCAAGGCATTCTCTGCCTTCTCAGCCTTCTTCCATATGCTTTGGTAAGATTTCTTCCAATGCTCCACGGTCTTCTCTGCCAATTCTGCCCTATTCTCCGAGTCTTTAGCTTTCTTCAGTGCACCTTGGGCTACCACCTTAGCGGCCTCAACAACCCGATTAAGCTCTGCATTCTACCTCATCATTTCCTTCTCCGTCTTTTCTGCCCTATTCTCCCACTCTTTAGCTTTCTTCACTGCACTTCCGTCTACCACCTTAGCTGCCGCAAGCTCCTTCTTCTCCCCCTAATGCCGCGAACCGATCTTCATAAAGGCCTAGAACCAATGTGTATTTGATAGCCTTTAGAGATACGCCATGGTGGTGTGACGGTAAAATGAACTGCATACTACAGAGTTTGGGAAATGTACGATTTTGAAACCACGTATTAGGTATAAGGGAGAATAAGGATATGTAGTGTGCCGGAGGTTTAGAATTAAAGTAGTAGCATGGAATATTTTATTTCCCCAACAAGTATCCGACAAACTGAATTTTTGAAAATAATGGTCTAGCATGCATTTTAGAAATTCATAGATAAGGAATTATTCAAAAACAATAGAGTATCTTGTTTGTGAAAGATGTGTGCTCGCATGCATAAAATAACGAAAGTGATGTATGAAAAGATTAAAACACTCATGCTTGGTCTCCATAATCTTTAAGCTTCTCGCCCAATAAGTCATCACTCAAATTGAGTAAGGCGTTTGCTTCAGGCAATGTAGCTTGAGAGGATTCATTTGTCTTCCGCTCATTATTTTGTTGTATCATCATCTGGTAGGCTTCGACCAAATGTTTTGAAGTGCGACACGTGCAGGACCAGTGTCCTTTGCATCCACACTCATAGCACGTATTTTGCTGTCCTTGACGAGTTTGATCTTTGGGCTGTTTATTCTGGGTTCGGGAATCATCGTTGTTAGCTCCGCTCCTGCCACCTCGCTTTGGGCCCCTACCACGACCTATTCCTCGCCCTCAACCCCGTCCCCTCTGATTGTTGCTCCTTTTTTCATGAAGCGTAAAACGATATGATATAGCTAGTCATGGCGTATGTGAATCTCATCCTGGGCAACAAACATGACAATGAAAAAGAGACTCCTCTGAACTATGATATGCAGTTCAGACTGATGGAGATATTGTCAATGGATAGAAGAATATAATGGAAATAGATACGTACTTAGGGGTGTGCAAGACTATTCAACCACTGTCAGTATTGGGTACGTTTGACCAAATCATTAAAGAAGCGTTAAGTTCCTCCAAAGAATCCAGCTTCAAATTTGTGAAACAGTTTGCGAATCAAGTTTTCTTTAGCATTGCTACGTAGGTTGTTTCTATGTCTAATGGTAAGAAATGTTTAACAATTCCATTGATCTTTATTGTAAACGTTTGAGCCTATGATTAATGAATTAGCTTCTTTATTTTCAAAAAATTGAAAGTAAAATTAGGGAATACAAATAGTATTTGAAAAATGATATATGTAGTCCCATAGAATATAACTCTCCTTAGGTGTACAAATTTTATTCTATAAATAAAAATAAATGAATAAAAACAATGATCCATTTTATTATTTAAACCAATCAAAGGATGACACTCCTAGAGAAAGTAAAAAAATTGACTAAAAAGTGGGAAGGCATGTAATATTACTCATTTTCAGTTTTCACATGTAATTCGTAACCGTCCTTTTTCATCTTCCCAACGGCAGCGGTTCATCTCATTGCATTAATTGGGCTGTCACGTCCGTCACGTTCCATAGAAGCAGGTGTGGGGTTTGGCCACCCATCCTATTTAACTTCATCCCCATGCATCTTCACAAACAAGTCACAAGCAGAGAGAAACTCCGGGGGATAGATCGAATGTCTAATAATGAAGTACAGTCGCGCAAGGGGGTCGTGGAGACTTCTCCCCCCCAGCAGGTTCAGCCTACAGAGAAGCCGCTGGAGCAAACACCTAGAGACAAGTCTGTCGTGAAGCGCCCACTCGCACCGTCTTTTGAGAACTCGGAGGCCTGCAACAAGAAGATGAGAGCCGAGGAAGTACACCACTTGTTTGCGCAGCTCAAGTCCGACGACATGGAACCTTTCAAGGGGGTAACCTTGCAGAACTATATATGTCCATTTGTTTTCCTTTCTCTCTTTCATTTAGTTTCTTCTTTGAATATCCTCGTACGTCCTGCCCGGTCGGACTGAGCATGTGTGAGGAGGTAAATCTGACACCCATGTAAGAATCTGCCCGTCCACTTTTACTGGGCATAATTCCCACAAATCACTGAGCTAAACTAGTAAGGGCAAAATTTTTTAGAATTAATTTCACTTTTAGTCCCACGACTTTTGAGTTCTTATCACTTTTGGTGCACAACTTTAAATTTTTTCACTTTTGGTGCCTAATTTTGTTATTTTTATCAGTTTTGGTCCTTCCAACCAAATTGATGGTAAAATATTTCCGGATTTTATATTTTAGGGACAAAATCGTCATCCAATTTAAAGATCTTCAATATTTAAACAAAAGAAAAATCATATTAAAAGGAAAAAAAGAGTTTGGCAATTGTCGAAACTATAAATCCCATAGATCTGTCTGGTTTCTGCCCGTCTTCCCCATTATTCTCATCGATCAAACACCTATAGATATGATTTTAAGTGATTTTGTTTAGATATTGAAGATGCTTCCTTAGGATGACAATTTTACCCCTAAAAATATAAAATCCAACAACATTTCGCTGTCAATTTGGCCGAAAGGACCAAAACTGATAAAAATAACAAAGTTAGGCACCAAAATTAAAAAATTTTAAATTTGTGCACCAAAAGTGATAGAACATCAAAAGTCGTGGGACCAAAAGTGAAATTAATTCAAATTTTTTATTTAGTTTCTTGATTGATCAATCATAAATATTTATTTGTTAATTTTTTCAGGGAATGGGTGCCTTCTGTGAGATTATAAACGAGTTTGTCAAAATGGGCAAGAAGAATGCAGAGCTTGAGGCCGCGAAGGAGGAGCTTGCGGCAGCTAATTAAGGTGGTAGCCGAAAGTGCAGTGAAGAAAGCTAAAGAGTGGGAGAATAGGGCAGAAAAGGCGGAGAAGGAAATGATGAGGAAGAAAGCCGAGCTTAATCGGGATGCTGAGGCCGCGAAGAAGGAGCTTGCGGCAGCGAACGGGACATACGAGAAGGCACTGAAGATAGCTAAAGACTCAGACAATAGGGTAGAAATGGCAGAGAAGGCCGTGGAGCATTGGAAGAAATCTTGGGAGAAGGCAGAGAAAGCCTTGATTGCTGTGAGTTTTGCGACCAAAATGCTAGCAAAGTAGAAATGGAATATAGAGTGTTAAAAACAAACAAACTGGGAATTCAATCAACATCCCCTCCCAGCCGAACCACACTCCTCATGTTGCATATATAGTCCACTGTTGTTGACCATAATCCCCACATATCACTGAGCTAAGCCCGTGCTGTGCTGGCCAAAATATTTATTTAGTTTCTTGATTGATCAATCATAAATAATATTTATTATTTTTTCAGGCAATGGCTTCCTTCTGTGAGATTATGAACAGCTGTATCAAAATGGACAGCACGAATGCAGCGCTTAATTGGGAAGTTGAGGCCGCGAAGAAGGTGATTACGGCAGCGAAGAGGACATACGAGAGGGCACTGAAGATAGCTAAACACTGGGAGAATAGGGCAGAAATGGCAGAGAAGGATGTGGAGAATGGGAAGAAAGCTTTCAAAAACTCATGGAAGAAGGCTGAAGACTCGAGCAAGAGGGCTAAGAGGCATAGAAAGCCTTGAATGCTGGGAGGGTAGCTTTGAAAAACTACAGCACAACTGCACAAGTACGATAGCCAGAGGCACGAAGTGAGATAGATGGGCCGGGGATGGAGGTTTTATCAGCTTAGCTTCGTTCTTGAATTTTGATTAGTCATGCATGTGATGTGCAATCGTTATGCGTTGGATACGTGTCCAGCAAGCTTGCTGGACACGGGTAACAGTGCCTAAGTTATCTTCTTTTTTTTTTTTTAATTTCAGACCGCTTCGTTATAGGAGTATATGTTCATAACTTTATTACTATATGTTAATAACTGTACATTCATAACTCTATAATTGTACGTTCATAACTCTATAATTGTACATTCATAACTCCATAACTGTACATTCATAATTCCATAACTGTACATTCATAATTTTTGAAGCTCTATGTTCACAATTTTAGAGCTCTATGTTCATAATTTTATCACTATATGTTCATAATTGTAAGTTCATAATGTTAGAGCTCTTTGTTCATTATTCGATCAATAACTGTACATTCATAATTCCATACATGTAGATTCATAATCTCATAACTGTAGATTCATAACTCCATAACTGTAGATTCATAACTCTATAACTGTAGATTCATAACTCTATAACTGTACATTCATAACTCCATAACTGTACATTCATAATCTTCGAAGCTCTATATTCACAATTTTAAAGCTCCATGGTCATAATTTTATCACTATATATGTTCATAATTGTAAGTTCATAATGTTAGAGCTCTGTGTTCATAATTTCATAATTGCACAACTGTACATTCATAACGGCATAACTGTACATTCATAATCCAAAAAAAAAATAACGCTGTTAACGCCATTAACGGCAAAACGCGCGCGATTTTTTTTTTTAACTAAATGACGCGTTTTTTTTTTTTAAACGACGTCGTTTTGGGCCCGTGTCCACAATTCATTGTGGACACCGGTCCAGGGCATAATTTGCCTGTGATGTGATGTTTGTTTATAGTGGGCTGCTAAGTTTTTTTTTTTTTTTAATAATATAAATAAATATTACTCTCTCCGTCCCGAATTGGTTGTCTCATTTGCTTTTTGCACGCTTTTTAATGAATTAAAGTAAATGCTATGTATTTTTCAATTATGTCTTTCACTTTTTCACTTTTAGAAATAAAAGCAAAAGTCATAAGGGGGAGTTTGGTTCACGGAATCTTGGATTACCTAGGTCATCTGAGTCTGGTAATGTTATATTACCTTGTTTGGTTCAAGTTATGAGATTACCAGGTAATGTTATATTACCTGAAAGCTGATGTGGCGGTAATGTTTCAAGGTAATGTGATTACCCCCATTTTTTTAGGTAATCTTAGATTACCTTGAATTATTCCAACTTTACCCTTTTTACTAATCTTTATATAATAATAATAATAATAATAATAATAATAATAATAATAATAATAATAATAATAATAATAATAATGATGATGATGATGAAATTAATATATGTTTATATAATTAAATATACATATGTGTATATTTATATATTTAGTTTTTTTTTTAATATTTAAGTTTTGATATAGATACACACACACACACACACACACACACACACACACACACACACACACACACACATATATATATATATATATATATATATATATATATATATATATATATATATATATATATTATTGAGGGCATTATTGTAAATTGACTCATATAACCTAAAATATAACCCTGAACCAAACAAAGTAATATTATATTACACCATCCAAACCAAACACACAAGGTAATCTTACATTCCCAAAATCTCACATTACCTTCCAGGAGGTAATCATATTACCTGGGGTAATCCAAGATTCCGTGAACCAAACGCCCCCTAAGGGTAATTTGGGAAAAAGTAGAATAATGGTGATGTTCAATTTTGGAAAGAGGACAACATTTTGGGACAAACTAAAAAGGAAAGTAAGACATGCAAAATGGGACAGAGGGAGTATATGATATGCTTGCCTGAGTGCGCGAATTGATCAAGTCATTCAGAATGCTTTGATTTTGATGCATCTGGTATGTGGATAATAATTCATATATTGACTAGTAATTTATGCATATTTAGAGACCAGGTTTATCTCATAATTATGAACACACATGAGAACCAAAATTAGTCTTCTACGAAGTCTAATTCTCTTTTGCCTGGTATGTTTTGTGACCAAAATGCTAGCAAACTAGAGATGTAATATAGAGTGTTAAAAAACAAGGAAAATGCTTATATGTACTCTCATGAAGTATAAACTCCATCCACGTGTACCAATGAATTCAAGTGAATAAAGAAAAACAATGGCCCACTTTGTTATTTAAACCAATCCGATAATGACACTTCAGCAGGGAGTACAAAATGGAGTTGAAAGTGGGAGTACATGTGAGGGAGGTTTAAAAAAATCAAATATGCAAATTAGATCGTGGGACCCACACAAAATCTACTCCTCTCATTTGTCAAAAATTTAGCAAAGGGAATTTTACTATTCCAGAATTCATGAATGATTCGTTATTGGGGATGACCTAATCGTGTTCATTTGGTTGGACTTCTTTTTTTTTTCTCTTTTTTAATGAGGTCGCATTTTCTTGTTCACGGTCGGTGATCGGTGTATAACATCTCTATAACAACAAGGTATCAAATATTTTTTCTTTTCTTTTCCAATATTCATGCATGTGTATAAACATTGATCTCACTCTACATTTGTATAAGAAGCTTCATGTATGACCAAGTAAATACTACATGATAATACTAATTCTCCCGGATATTGGTTGTATGTACTAGATGCATATATGTGATGTATAAGAATAGTATAATAGACAAGATGATATAGAAGAAGGGGTATTTTAATCATGAGTGTTCTTGAGTTTGTATTGTAGAGAGAAGGAAGAGCAATTAGCTAGAGAGATAGTGAATGGAGAGTGAATGAATGGAATTCCCCTCACTTAGAAGGCCAAGATGCCTTTTATACGCATGGTTGCGGGTTTGACCCGCTTCGAGTTGGACCCGCCACCTCCAACCTTGACCCATGGATCGGGTCCTGAACCTCTTGACCCTGAACCGCTCATAAACGAGTCCACGGACATACAGGTGGTCGGTGCCGAGATATATAACCTATCACTACACAACCTGTATATAGAGAAAAATACGCCTTGCAACAATTAGAACACAAGCTTAGGAACCCTGTATAGCGTATATAAAGAAAACACATGATTGACCGCTGGCATTTTATTTGCTTTTGTCCATAATTAAAAAGTTGCACAAACTAGTCCACCTATTACAAAATGATCCCACGAGCATAGTCACCCTTCAGTCCGGTATTTTTTTAGGGATAAAGTACAAATAAGCTATTCCGGCATACTAGCAATTAACTTTTTTAGCATGTAACTTTTCTGATTTTTCGTTGATTAGGTTTGTGAGCTTTTTTTATTTTTATTTTTATTTTTATTTTTATTTTTATTTTTATTTTTATTTTTATTTTTATTTTTATTTTATTTAAATTATCCACTGTGAATTTCTGCTAATAATTCTCAAATTGAAGTATGAATCCCCAACCAGAGCCAGACGATGAGGATAAGAATAATATCGTAACATTAACCAAAGAGGCAAAGACTGAAGACAGTCATATAAGGATACAGAGAGAGAGTCCTAGACTATCACAACTAATACTGTAACACCCTGTGTTACAACCCGTAAACCAAATTAATTAATTAATTACTCACCCTAAAAAGGGAATTAAAATTCATTAATTAGCTAAAAGGGGGTCCACCATAGTCAATGGGCCCTTATCCCTAAAATCAACCCCTTAGTCCTATAAAGAATAGAATTGGCAAGCCCAAACCATTTAGACCCTAATTAGGACTCTTAGATATATAAATAGGGACATAAGAAGCACCTAGAACTCACATCACAATAACTTTCACCACATAAGAATTTCCAAGAATTCCCATAGGAGAAATCAAGAAAGAAGAAATATTAAAGAAAGACCCTTCATAGTCAAGGAATTTAATTAAGGCTAAGAGGTAACCCATGTCTCAACAAAACCTATTTTCCTTGCTATAATCTTCTTCTTTGGCTCCCTATTCTATACTTGTGTCTTGATGAAATCTTCTATGATAATTGTGATATGATCTTGATATTGTGGTGATTTTATGTGTGATCTTGATGATGATAAGAGGATCCTGATAATTGTGTGATGTTCTTGATTAATCTTGATGTTCTTGATTTTTAAAAGATAAAGCATGATTTTGTGATTTAAATATGATTAGGGCCCTAGGTTGAATCTTGAATTTCGTATTGGGATTTTCTTGGTATATTTGGGTGGGAATTCGCATGCTCGGGTGATAATTATGTTTATAAGTCTTGTTAGGTTGTGTCCTACGTGATTGTTGCTTTTGATCCATTAATTGCCTACGTGGTATCGTTATTTACGTTTAAAAGTGTCTAAGCATGGTTTCGGGTTCCACAAAGGATCCCGGGACGTTTATTGTGATAAAGGGCCAGTGGAGGGTCGCCGGGGTAGGTGGGGGTAGGGGGACCCGCCACCTACCCGCTGCCCAAAGAAGCACCGTCGGCAGCGGGCAGGCGACTGCCTGCCGGGCACCCGCTGCACGGAAAATTGTCGCCGGCGGGTGGCCCTCCACCCACCGGCTACCCGCTGGTCGTTACCCACTTCAGGACTTTGGCTTCCCCGTTTGATGTTCCCCAATCCCCGTGGTGTCCCAATGGACCCCGTTTGTCGTGCATGAGTCTAGTTTGATGTTTCAGGTGCCATTCGTAGGATAGAAGAGTCTTAGGAATTGCATGCTAATTGAATCGGTAACCCGTTGGCCTAGGTGGAAGATGCATGAACCCCTTAGGACTATTCTTAGTATGTGAATGATCACACATAAGTTTATTTATACGTCTCCCCTTCCCAATGTGCTAATACGTGCTACTATGTGTTATGTGATGCATGATACCCCAATTTGGTTGCGATCAAATTGGGTGTTCCTGAGCTGCAGTTCAGAAGTTGGCTACGGTCAAATTGGTTACTTATGAGCTGTGGTTCATTTTCTTGGCTGTGGTCAGTGATTCATTTCTTGGGTTGCGGTCCACATGGGCCTCGTGTGCTATGGTCC